CAAGAATCTTGACTGTTACCTTGACAAGTTGAGAAGATGGGAGGTTTGAAGTGGATGTTGTACATTTCAAGTATCCAAACCCTGCTTTACTTTGGGTGGTCAAACCACAACAACACCTGGAGAGGGAGACAAACAAAAAGCCATTGGAAGTGATCTTCTGACCCCACCAAGATGTGCCCAATCTGGTCCTCTGGGTGACACATGATTGATTGTGGGCCTGGGCTAATGTTCTTTATGCATAGTACATCAAAGTTACGGACACCAACTGCTTTGTCAACATGAACCCCCCCCCCCCCCCCTAGTGTTGGCTCCACTTTCAAATGGGAGAGACGAGCTGGTATCACTCCCCTGAAGCATTGTTTGGCCACTGGACACTGCTTTGATGGTTTCTTTGAGCAGTGAGGTGTCTGTGGCTCCCTCACTCGCTGGTCATTAATTGACGGCCCCAAAGAACTTGGATTCACCAATTGGCACTAATAGGCTTTTGGTTACTCCCTCCCATTCCGTCCAGTCGTAAATCCTCAACTTCTGAACAAGCCCTTCCAACCCTTGACACGCTTGAAGATGTTCAAAAAATTGTGATGGAAAGTCCAGATGGGAATAACTGTGACACTGCCTTGAAACTCTCCAGTGAGTCAGTTGATCCACCAGGGAAGTTTGCTCAGCACCTGCTTTCGAGTGCCATCAGTGAACTCGGTCATAGATCTGGTTGGAAGCTAGTTACAACCCATGTGATATGTACCACAACCTGGTTACAAGACATGTTGATGTGTACCACAGCTTCCCTTGATATGTCAGGGAATCATACTCGATATATTATGGAATACATGTGTACAATGTAACCCAGACCTATGCTGAAACCAAGTTCAACTTGGCAGCATACAGTTCTTGATCCCAAGCTTGCAATATCTTGACTGATATGATTTCCCACCTGGTTGTGAGCCACTATGTCAGTAAGATACTCTGAAATGTTTTTCTTCCAAGAGCCCACTAGTTACAAGAAAGCTTGTGAGTTAATTCAGTCCTTGCAAATGCCTATTTCATGTGATTCTCATGTATACAAAACCTTCATATTTAGTGGCAACCAGACCTCCTACCCTCTTGGTAATGTCTATACTAAAGAGTATGATAATTGGAAGCCAAATGCTGAGTTCATTGTGCTCATTAGTCAAACCAATCATACAGGTGCTGGAGTTTGTTTACTACACTTTCCAGCTTACGTGACTAGATCATGCAGTGCCCTGCAGCCAATGTGAGTGGGTTAAAATAAGCACCAAAGGCTGTGTATTGTGAGTTATGATGAAGGGTATTCCAAAAAAAATCCAAATTCTAGATAAGAGAAAGGTAACAAATACAACCATCCTATCCTTATTTCAACCCCCACATCTTTCACAACCTCAATTTGATCTACTTATTTTTCTATCCATCATGACAAAAATACTATGCCTTGGTCAATTTGTTACACGTATACATTCTCCTACTTCAGATTCCCTTCCTGATCACGCACAACAGGCCCTCCTAAAACGGGGAACAGATCAAGTGCACGTGTGGTGTTCCCCAAGACAATTTGTTGGAGATCTCAGCCAATTTCAAAGCAAGTTCCTTGGTCCATTGTAGGTCCGGTGGGCAGCTGCTCAACACCAATAACAGAAGAAGGAATGATATTTTCTAAAAAATCCCTAATAAAGATTTGAGCTTTTTTTGTTACCAAAACATGTAATGATCCTCAACTGAGGGGTTGCATATTTGGTCTTGACTCAAACAAGGCCACCATTTCATCTGCTTTCTTCAACGCACAAATCAATCTCTCTCCCATCTGGAACTTTGATCCCAGCCTCTTTTTCATAATCCCCCAAACGTCTTTTACACCAACCCTCACTACTAGTACTCCAGAAGAGGATGATTCTTTTTGGTCTATTCTCCAAAACTGTGTAACCACCTTGAAAGACCACCAATACACAACTCTACATTTCCTCAAGAGAAACAAGTCTACCAAACAAAACACAATTGAAGACTTGTGGAAACACCCCATCAATAGTTAAATATGACAATGTAGTAACCCTTCTGACCTACAACTTGACAAAACAGGCCAATTTACTAGCCAAGGATCCATGCTTGCTGATAACATGGGCTTAGTGATTATTTGTCCATTAGCAACCTTGCCAAACTGGGAGAATGAGATCAAGATTCACTTTCACAAGGGAGCCAAGGGAGCCTTACTATCTTTCATGGAAGAGACTGAGGAAGAATTGACAGAGGATTGCTATTGTCACTTGTTGCTTGGACAACCTACGAGATGGTTGGAACATCTGGCAACCCACTGCATACCAACAAATTGCCATTGAATCACTTGGTACCTGAAAATTCAGAATTTGAGGCTCAGAGCATCTTTACCGGTTAAGCATAAAGCCAGTGGTTTCAAGTTGCGGCTATTGCTAAGCCTATTTAGCCACACCGGTGTGGTGTGATTGGTTGCGGGAGGGCACCAAAAGGAAGTACTCTCACGGGTGTTAGCTTATAGCTTGCTTGTGAGCTAATTGGTGCTAGATCTAGCAACGGTTATCTCAAATGGGAGCCACAAGCTAGTTTGGCTTGACCTCAGCTCAGCCCGGTGTGGTTGAATTTAGCAGCTAAAGTCCTTAGCTCGCGCAAATTTAGCCACCAATACAGATGCTCTCAGTAAGTTACAATAACCTGGTGCATGTATTGAGTTATCAATTAATAACAAATCTGACATTAAAAACCATGTAGTATGATCTGTAACCCAACAGCCAACAGGACTTTGAACATTCAAAAGCTGAAATAAAGATGTATCTTGTGTCTGACGGCAGGGAACCCCCTTCCAGAATTGACTCACGAATGTCCAAAGCTTGATATTTCTACTGAAGATTTGGTCTTGGAACCAGGAGTGGATCTGGAAGACGCACCTTATACCTGGAATTAATGTTGGATCCCAGGAAGCTGTCAAGAGGTTGAAACGCTTGATAGAAACTGTATGCAGGAGGAGGAGAAAGGAGGTGTGCACAAAATCTGTACATGATGGTAAGGAGGAAGCAATTCTTCTGTGTAACTAAACATGTTGATAAGAAGTTTGATGTTCAAGGAACCAAATTGGAATCCGGCCCTGGAAAATCAAGCTGTGGATTGTCTCTATTGCCCTGGATAGAAGACAAATGAGGTTCATGTCTACCAATACTACTATGTTCAAGGCAGTCTGGAAATGAATATACATCAGGTGAAAAGTAGGAAAGGGGAATTGGCAATGTAAGAATTCCTTGGTCTCTCTGTATCCAAACATGGGGTAGTTGAGGTATTCTTTGGGACATACTTGATTTTGAATCTCAGGCTGAGTGTACCATCTCATGGAAATGAGGATTATGAGTAACATGTTAAATTGTTATGAGTGTTCTGGGGAGAGCAGGAGGGATCTTCTAGGTTCTAGTTCTCAATGGTAGATTGCAAGATGAGGGATGTACAAGGTGTGGATCTCAAACAAACTGCAAGTTCAAAGTTTGTGACATGTACGTAACAGGCTCTCTACATATGTAACATCCCTGGTTCCAGTCCTCCACAGCTCATAACACTATCCCCCCTTTAATGCCCAAGCCACCCCCGTTGTTGTTCTAAAAAATTCCTCCTCTTTTGGCTCGGCAATCTTTCCCTGGGCAGCATTGAAAAACCCAGTGGGAAAAAGTGTGCCCTCTCTCTTCATTCTCCAAGACCTCTTGTGTCTTGACGTCGCATCCGGGAACTTGATGTTGAACTCGGCGACCAGTTCTCAATGGTGTTCTAAGTTGACCTTGGGTTCCCACAATTTCTCCTCCAGTCCAAAGCCTTTTCAGCTGACCAAGTATTTGATCTTCTTCCCTCTTTTCCAACAGTCCAGCATGCCTTCCACTTCCCATTCCTCCTCGTTGTTGACCTGTACCGGCTCTGGTGATGAGTGGTGCCTCCCAGTGATGGTGTCAGAGTTGTGCTTTTATCTGTTGGCTTGTCCAGCAAGGTGTTTGGTTTGGGTGAGCAGTTGATGCACAAGACGGTCCTGTGCCAACATTTGCTCGAGTAGTGCCAACCGGTGATCCTGCTGCTCCTGAGTGAACATCTTCTCAAGTCAATCAAGTGCCCACTGCTGGTCCATCTGCTCCTTGCGTTGTTTTGTTTGCTCCATGACTTCGTCCTTCAGTTGTTTCAGTTGCTTGTTTGAGTCTTGACTGGCAAACAATTGGTGGACTTTTGGTGGGTAGTAAAGTTAATATCAGGTGATGCAAAGGTGTTTAAAAGAAAACATAAACCTACTAAAAACAAGCAGGACAATGATAGGAGCAAAGGCGCAAATCATTGTATCTAGAAGAGGAAGGAAAAGGTGGAAACTAAATCTTCTTGCAGGAGTGCTGACCGGGTGTCATTTTGGAAAGGAAGTCTGATAGGATCTTGAAAGCAACTTGTTTGTTGGTTTCAGTCATGTGGGGAATGAGGTCTATAGGATGTGCCAGGATTGTCAGCTATTTATAAAAAAACAACAACAAAAAACTGCCCACTCAACAGGAAGGTGGCAACTGCAGGCCAACCAACAGATGAGCCTGACGCCGGGGCAGGTTGGTTGCAGGAATTGGGCTGGTTGGACTGGTCCGAGTTGGCCATCCTTGCCATCATTTATATTCCTCCCTCAAGCCAGGTCTCTCAGAAAATTGCCTGGGCAAGTTGCATGACTGTGCTCTGCTCTGCTAACGGCTGCTGGTCAAACCAATGCAAAAGCTGAGTCAGCTCAACTTTTTCTTGGTTTTTTTTTGGTTCTTACAGCCGGCAAGGGCTTGGTCTTGTCAAAATATTCTTTCTGTTCAGCCAAACCTCTTTGCCAACGTTCCAATTTGGACTGTCCTTCACACCTTTGTCAAATTGGGTCTTCATTGATTCTTGAGCTGCTTCTAGGCATAACTTGAGTTCTGATTGGACTTCATCTTTGTTTGATTTGCTCTTCAGCCACCGGTAGACACTGTTCACTTGATGGGATCATGCCGTATGAAGGATTGAAACCGTAGTTTGCCTTGAATGGTGAGACTCCAATTGACACATGATCATTGTTGTTGTAAGCAAATTCAGCAGTTGCCAAAAGGGGTTCCCAGTTGTCCTGTCGGTATTGAACAAAATATTGTAGGTACTGCTCCACCGCCTTATTCACAATTTCAGACTGTCCATTGGTCCTGGGGTGGTAGGTGGTCAAAGGATGAAGCCTGATTCCAAGTTGATTGTCCAGTTCCTGCGTAATCTGAGAAATTAAAATACTTTCTCTGTCCAAAAAAATGGTCTTTGGGGTGCTGTGCAGTTTCCAAACTTGTTTCAACATAAGATCCAAGAGCTGCTTGGAGTTCATGGACGTGTTGCAGGGAAGGAAATGGGGCATTCTAGTCAGTCGGTTGATCAAGGTCAGGATACTGTCACAATTGTTGGATAGTGGGAGGTCTGTTATAAGATTGTAGCTAATGTCTGTCCACGGGCCCACCCTGTTTACCTAGCAGTTGCACAACACTTCAGACACCTTTCAAAAACATTTGCGCACAGATGGAGTTGCAAAAGACACAAAGAACAAGGTTTATACACATGATGTGTGATTATAACATGAGCAGATTCTGCACCTGGGTAGGGACCAGTGTTCAAAATTGTGACACAAATGTACCCGCATATGTTTGTGTGACACATGAGTGCACTTGCCGCTCCTGCAAATTTCAATGTTGGATGTCCCAAGCCTCTGGACCACATATGTACCATGGACCACCTAACCCCATTAATCATCACATACTGATTCTTTGACAAAACCTCCACATAGTCAGGAAACAAGTAATATAAATTCCTCCCCTGTACTGAAGTCCAATTTCTCCTATCCAATGATAATACAGCATATGTAAAAGAATTTAGTCTACATTCATGGACCTCTGCCACTTGAACCGGCTTGAGCACTTGATACCACATCTGCTGATCCTCCAGCTCCGCTTGGTCCTGCCGAAGGCGCCAGTGTCACAAGACAATGGAGGACTTCCCGTCGGTTCTGCAGGCCCCGCAGAACCAAATTTCCAATCCAAAATTCTAATTTTCTAATTTCGCGCTTCCGTTGCCTGCAATTTGTAAATCTGCATAAGCCTCCTCAAACCTCCAACATAGCAACTCACGCACACATCTTCTTGCTCTCCTCAACCGCTGGACAAGACTGTGAGTAACACTCCTCTGTATATGTCCCTCGTGGTCAAACCAAGGCCAAGTACGTGCAAGGTACGATTGATTCGTACATCTGCTGAGGATGCCGCCAATTGTGACCAGCAGGACGAAGAGGCGTTGGTTTTGTTCTGGGTGCTTGCTTACCTTGGATCTCCAGGCCGCTTTTGACAAATGCAAACCTACCTGACTCAATCAGATCTCCGGAGAGAGTGTTAATGAAGACGGTGCAGGAGCTACGTCGTGTCAGCTGCTCTTCAGAGAGAAGTTCTTCCACCAGGCCGGGCCCAAGGCTTTGCTCCTCCACGCTATCCTCGCCAACCTTTCGCCGGTCGAACTCCGCCAGGAAAGCCGCTTCTTCGCCCCCTTCAACCTCCGCGCCCCTCCTCTGCTCAAAACAACCTACTAGCTTCCACTACAAGCAATACCGATTTTGCCCCAAAATTAAATGGCAATTTGGGTGGGGGAAAATGGATCAATTTTCTGGAAATTTTTTCCAAAATTCCTCAGGAGTAGAAATTAGGCTAAACTGAGCTATTTTAGCCCAGAGATAGAAATTCATCAAACATTCCAAAATGAATTTTTAGCTCATTTGGGACATTTTTATTTTTTGGCTAAAATAGCTCATTTTAGCCTAATTTTTTACTCCTGAGGCATCTTGTAAAAAAAGTGCCAGAAAATTGATCTATTTTCCACCATCCAAATTGCCATTTTTCCTTGGGGCAAAATCGGTATTGTTTATAGTGTTCTTCCTCTAAAACCCAACACCCATCTTCTTCCCCACTTACTCATCTCGACAAGTATTCCGAGTGTACTAATCTCTCTACTTGTCCGCCCTGGGACTTCCCCTTCTCAATCTTTAGACCCCACTCCTTTGCCTCCTCAACCCACGAGCGCCTGTCCTCTCACTCCTCCCAACTCTTGCATGATACCCTCAAAGCTCCCAATCAGCCCCTGGTCAGGAAGCTCCGCCCCAACAACTAACTGAGGATATGAAGGCAGAAGTCGACGAGCTTTTTAATGAGTTTTAGAAAAGTGTGTATAAGCTGGCAATAAAGAATAATTGGCTTGGTGGACACTTGTATTTTAATCATCTTGGACAAAGTAAGAAAGTCAAAGGTGGTTTGACGTGGAATAACCTCAAAAGGTTTGATCCTGAGCCGCAGCGCTCATACGATGAACGTGAGTCCATTCATTAGCCAACTTATGACTGATTGTATTGGTTTGCTTGTTCCACTTACACTCTGTATCATTGTTTGTACCAGTTGGTCTTGTTGTTGGCTGTCAAAAGGTCCGGGAGCTGTGGGCAAGCAAAGATGATGCTACCAAAGCTCAATATAAGGATGTTGATTTCCTCATCAGCTTGAACAAGGCAAACAAAAGAGTCATCAACAGCGGTCATAATCCCCATGCCCCAAGTGGTGCCAACCAAATTGCAAGAGCAACAAGTGTATCCACCTCTAGAATATCTGAGAGGAAAATTTGACCACTGTTAATTAACAACTGGCTCCTAAAAATTGAGGTTGATGTAAGTGCAGATCTGTCCTTGCTAGCAGGTATCAGCCTAACTGATTCAATTATCCATCTGCAGTTGAAATCACTGGCCTTCTTCCATCAACTGGAAGGCTTTTATGTTTTGGCTTCCCAACATCCAAACAGTAAAATACTTCACAAGGGCGGTTTGCCACTTGGCAATGACTTTCTCCAGATGCTTGCAAATAGACAACATAATCCTGCCAGTCACTTTCACACGTGGGTTACCGCCCAAACAATCAAATTCTTGAATGGAGTCCGGGTCAAATCATTCCCCAAAACCCCCAAATCTCTCACCTTAGACATCTTGGGAGTGCAGTCAAAGGATGCAAATGTAGAATTTGATTGCGGTAAGTGCTTACTTGACATTGGACTTCATCCATTGTGACTAATGTTCTTCTGCTTCTTGAAATTTCAGGGACTGTTGCCAAAAACATCACTGCAATTCAGACCAAGCTTAGGGAGATGATACGTAAGCGCTTGGACTCCTCTTTGGTAGGACATGTATTTTTCTGATTTGGTTTGAGCAAGCAGGGGTGGCAAGCGGGAATAAGCTGTGTTGCACTTGGCCTGGAGGAGAAACAAAGTCTAAGCTTGAGAAAAGGAAGTTGACACTGCATGTCTTGCCCAACAACTGGAGCATTAATGAACCAAGTGATTTATATGGTAACCTAGGCCGGTTGCATGAAGGTCCAGCCAAGGGTATAATGGCTTGCTTACACACAGGAAAGATCAAAATCAACTCCAACGGTAATGGAAAATACTGTTCCTGAATCGGAAGCATCTGAATCAGAGACAGAAGAATCTGAGTCTGAGTCAGAAGAATCCAAATCTGAATCCAACTCTGTTCCCCCTCCAAAGAAGTGTGCCCGTGTCAGTCAGTCTACTCAGGCCTAAAAGAAAAAAACAACACCAAAAAGAAGGCCAGTTCCAAAAAGTAACTCTGCAGCTGTCAACAAACAATCTAGAACAAAAAAGGCAGTCACATCCACCTGTGGCCAAATCAATCTGTCTGACCAATCCAGCTTGCTTGACACCTTCAATCAAAACCAAATGTCTGGGTCCTTCTTGGACCTCAATGGCTCATCTGGCTTGACGACACACCAGTGATTCCTCTGCTTGCAGTCCTCAAACCTGGAATAACACATGCTTAAGTTAATGTTTGTTTCAATTATCACCACTAAGTTTGTGCAGAAGAAAACAAAAACTAGTCACATCTGTTTATTGTTTATCTGGCTGGAATCTTTTCTTTATTATCTATTTGCTTGAGAAATATGATTATCTGAAATTTATTCCCTCTCTCAACCTGTGAAGCTGCTGGTTATCATGTATTTACCTGTTGCTTCTTATTTGTCTCTGACGGTGACTGTTTACAAGCACTTGCAGTCCTCAAGCCTAGTACACCACATGCTTAAGTTAAAGTTTGTTTTATTCTGCACAAACACAGTAGTGATAATTTGTGCAAAATAAAACAAACAAATAGTTTCATCTGTTCATTGTTTATCTGCCTGAAATATTTTCTTCATTATCTATTTGCACAAAAAAATTGATTGTCTATATTTTATCTTCTTGAATGACAAAATTAAGCCCAGAAGAGTACGTAGAAGGTGGGAAATGTGTGTTATAATTCTGTTTAATGGCTTGTGTGTACTTTTAGGGGTGCTTGATTCAATTCTGAAATAAAAACACAAGAACTCTGAAACATTTGGAAGACATTGAGAATCAAAGGTTGTGTGGTGCCAATAGTAGGATCCTGTCACTTGTTTTTAGGAGGTTGTAGAAGTTCAAATTAAGTGTATTTTTACAATGAAAGGTAGTTCTTATGTACATGATAGGACGGTTCACGTCTGAACTTTCAGGCAAATTTAATGACATTTATCATTAAAATTTTGCAAATTTATCACAAATCTCAAATTCCTCCAAACTTGATGGTTCATGAAATTTTATGAAATTCATAAAATCTTATCTTCCAGTGTGTTAAAAGTTGCCTTGAACTTCAGACGTGAACCGGCCTAATAGCCTGGTTCATAATAGCCAGTTCCAATAGCTGATCACCTTGTTAAAAGTTGCTGACAGCAATTTGTTTTTGCAAGGATCTGAAATAATTTGGGAGACTTTGGAATAAAAAAAAATTCACAAACAGATGTGTTTTTAAGTATCAATGATTTGCTGATTACCGCTAAAATTTTTGCTGATGATTGGTCATTGTTAACTGGGCTAATTGGATTAAATTTCACATATTTCAGACATAAATTGATTTAAATTAAAGGTGCCCACAAGTATATTGGTCCAATTGGCTTGCGGGCACTTCAGTGTAAGTTGATATCCAATGCATCAAGAGCAGCTGACTAGTATACAATCAAAGACATATGAAGGATGAAATCCACTTAGTAATGTTTCATAAAGGGATTGAAACATTTTCCTATTATTTTAAGACTGGTTGGGTGGGTGTGATCCATTCCACCAGCAGGTAATGTATTTATGTGAGGTTTAGGTGTGTCCATATAAGAATGAGAGTGACCACTGTGACCCACCTAGTGAATTGAGCCATATGACCCACCTTAACAATTGAATTCAGATAAGCTCATATTGTACTGCTTCAAAATAATATTTTCAACATCATCAGGTCATCTGAAATAAGTAAAATGTGTTTGTGCTAGTCAACCCATGGGCATCTGAGTATGTGAGTCTTTCTGCAATCCTATACATGCTGAACTGAAAGTAAAAAGGTCCACATGGTATGCACTTGTTAGTTGAGAAGCTCAACTAATTATCTTGATTCAAAATCATATCAAAAATTGACAATACTCAAAGAAGTCTTTTGCTTTGAAAGAATTTGGGGAATTTATATCAGTCCACTGACCATCCACTACATCTCAACTACTTAAACTTGATTCTGCACCACCCAATCAAACCAATATCTCATGCCCCTTCAATTCCCATGAGTTTTGTGAAAATAAATCCAATGTTTCCCATAAAAACTCAGAAATACTTTCTTTTCCTTTTAAAAATCTCATTTCTCCATCTCCTATACCCTCTTACACACAAATTATGGTCATTTGTGTTTTAAAATTTAAAATCCTCCAACCTTTGAACCTCAACATTTTTAACACAATTTTTGATCATGCAGTTTTTATTTCAGAATTGAATCAAGTGAAAGTACAAGCAAGAAACCACACAGCATTATAAAATACATGTCTCACCTTCTGCATCCTCCTGTTGCCTGACTTTCACCAGTAGTTCTTAGTGAAACCAAAAATTTGTATCTCAATACCTTTCAAATGTTCCACAATTCTTGTGTGCTTGTTTCAGGTCTCAGAAAAGAATCAAGCACATCTGACAGTACAATTTTCAAACCGCACAGGATTTTTGCACCTCCTACTGCAACCTTGTAATGCCTTATTTCTCTGTTCAATCCTACCACAATTTTCCTGATAGCTTTCACTCTCTTCAAACACAAGGCTGATTGCAGCTTTGGGTCCACCCGCTTCCATTATGATTCATGGGTTTCAATGAATTTCTAATAAATTTCATAGTGATCTGACAAGTGTTGTCTGAGTTATCAGTTCCTCCCTCCAAACAGTATGTTTTGGATGATCCCATCTCAAGTGGTTCCTTGTGCAATATCTGCCATAGCCAAGAGGTTGTCTGCCCAAGGACAAAACCACTTTGGTCAGAAAACCCTGGAATAGATCCCTCAGTGACCACACCTCTTCAAGGCTAGCGGTTTATCACCCCCACTTGGTCCTCTTGTCACATTTTGTTTGAACCTCAACTCATCTTTGTCTAATCAACAAGATTAACATTGATTTTACAACCGGTTGGCATGGGGCATTGTGGCGAGTCCAACCCATTTTAAAACAAAACCTCCAATCA